AATTCCTGGCACTTTTGAGCCTATAGGTATGGGCATGGCATGAGGCACTAGTGCCTGGCATAGTGCCAATTTGCCCGACATGGGCATTTGCAGAACCCTAATATATAAGTAATCTAAAATCTTAAAAGTTATTACAATTAATTCAAATTATGTTTTATATTAAAAAATTTTTTTGAAAGCTTATTTTTTAATTATTTTATATACAAATTTGTATACTAAAATATACAGTTTAAAGAATAGTAAATCATTATATAAGTTGCAGGTTTTCACTCTCATAGATAATTATAAATGTAACTAAAAAAAAATTACATGCGAAGTGACAGGTAATATCTAGTTTTAATAAAATTTAGTATAATTTTAAAAAATTATTGTTAGTAGTCAAATTTGGTTGCTAGACAGTTTAAAAGATAGTTTTGATATTATGGTGAGATGTTTATAAAAAACCTATTTTAGTGTTAAAGATAATAAAATATTAGCCATTGAAATATGTAACATACTATGTCTTGAATTTGCTAGAAACACTTCTGAATGTTATATCCATAGGTGAAGGTGAAATTTATTTTTATTTTTTTTTAATTTCAACAATAATTTTAACAATAATTTCAGCCATTTTAATATTTCTATAAATTAAATCTAAAACAACTAATGTATTTGATTTAACTTAGGTTTATTAATTTTTGACAATTTAAATTAATTTTTAATATTGAAAAATAATTTCACCAATATCACCATCAAATAACTTCAAAAAATTCAACAAAAACTTTTTATTAAGAATAATTTCATCCTCATCTATAGCTATATCTAATTAGCCAGTCGATGCATGGATGTTAATCCTTTTAATACATCTAATATATATGAATCGCTAAGATGGCATGAAATATAATGTAATAATAATGCTGAAAATTAAAATTCCAATAGGTAGATGTAATTATTTCAACATTATCAATATAATTGCCAATTTGCAGCAAAGATAAACTTGCAAGTAAACTGCTCAACTTTAAAAATCTTCCTAAGTCACTTAATTCATCATTTATTTCACCTGTAAAAGTAAAAATTTGTGGTAAATAATATAAAATGCTCAATTTTAATTGATAATATTTTTACTTTTTAATTTTTTTAGATACCACTACACTTGATTAATTTCCGATGACTATTATAATGATAGTTCAGAATGTATAATTTTAATTACAAATCTATAATGATAAGATTTAATTTATCTATTTAAATACTTTGCCTCTACAGCAATGATGACGTATCATGAACAATGAATTTTATTTAAATATTTATTGTTCAATTGTCTAGATAAATATATTTAAAGTCTTGTCAATTTATGAGTTCATGATTACGCTATCTGTATCAAAGAAATAAATTTGTTCAAAATTTTATATAAGGCTATACAAAGCAGATTTTTTGGTTTTCATAATATTATAAAGATAGAAAATCAAGTAAACAAAAATAAATTCTTATCGCCTATAATCATCCGATTTGCTCTCTCACTTCCCACAATCCGTTCAACTCGATACTGATCAAACTTTGAAAATATAACGTTACACGATAAATTAGATTCCGAATCTACTTCATCTTTCGTGGATGTTAACAAGTTCACGATTTCAGGATAGAATTGGGGATGATCGGGTAATGCATAAAATATTATGTGGTGTGTACCCCGAATTCGGTGTCTATTATTTATTCGTAATAATGAGATTATAGGTCAATTACATAATTAAATTATTATATATTACTGTCTCATTTGAAATTAATCAACAGTCACCTTCTAAAGAAATGGAATCGTTCAGTGTATAACATGATATTTCGTTTCCCATTAAAAAAATGCGCTCTTGCTCTAGTCACATCCGGTGCAGAAGTATATCTAATGCAGAAAAATCAAATTATCATCATTGCTTGCTTACTAAGTCTACGATTCCACATAACGTTTGAACATACTCGCATATACTGGTAAAATTATAATCATTATCTTCAAAATAATTTCTTAATCGTATAAAATCAAAATATGATGGAATAAATATTAATGTATGTGGTAGCTTTGGATTTGATTTTTGAAGGGCAGGCAGTAACTACATAATAATAAGTCATATTAAATAATTACTTCATTTGTGGTATAGTTACTTATATCAGGGTTGTCATTGACTTTTTTTATATGCTAAGTTCAGCTGTTTTGTCCAGTCCAATAAGTATGTTTTGATAGTTTTAAACGCGAATAAATTTTGGTCACTGGTCTGTTTCGGATGATTTTATCACCAAAATGACTGCCTTATTGAGACGATTTTAATGAATCAAAAATTACCAAAATCCAATCACAGAATCACGAGATCGTTAATGATTGGCTTAAGCAGTTTTAAATATTTAAAATAACAAATCTTTTTGTCTCATTAGAATTGTATCAATGAGGCAATTATTTGGTGATAAAACCATCCAAAATGGACTAGTAGATCAAAAGTTATTTTCATTTAAAGATATGAATTAATAGTATGTAATAATAATTATTACTATTTCACATAACTGGACTATTATTGGATGACATCATCTAAGTTCAGCTATCAACAGTTAAATGGACTGGACTTGGGCTAGTCCAAATGACAACTCTGACTTATATATATGTAATAATGACTGGGACATTAACTAGTTCGTGTAATCCTGCTTTAGTTCATTCAAGTTCAGTCAGATCTAGGTTTGGACTTAGTTGGACTAGGTTCTTGAATTGATATAGTGATACTGGTGAAATTCAACTACTAAATTTCACTAGTTGGCTATCTAAAATCTTATTTGATGTTCTATTTAATTTCACCAGTTTCACTAACAAGTAGAAAATAGATTTACTTAAACTACTTAACATCCCTAATAATGGTAAAGTGTGATTGATCAATACCTTTTCGATAAAATATTTGAATCGAATATCATCCGTTTCAATTAATGATGGACATTCTATTCGAGTAAAAACCTAGGCATAATATGAATTATATTTCAATAATAAATTTAATAATATAGGGAGAGATAAGTCAATTAAGCAAATTTTTTATAATAATTTTTTTTTTAAACTTCAACCAAAAATAATTAACGAAAACTTAATAAAATTTAATCAAATTTGATTTTTTGTTAAATTATTTTTTGTTTAAAGTTTTAAAAAGCATTTACTAAGGAAAATTTGCATGGTTTCTATTGACTCACCTCCATATAATAATATGAAGTGATTTACCTGTTTAATCTGAGGAATCACATTTACGATGGTACCCTCATAATGGCTTTTGGTTTTTAATTTTCCTGCGATATTAAACATTTGCTTATTGAACAATGAATTAATTTCCGGTGTTAAATACTCGGAAATAATAATAGTCTGGCGAAAATACTTGGCCCTATGTGGAATTTGTAAAAATTATAACATTGTTCTAACCAAAAAAATAAATTAAAATAATATACATCATCTAAATGTACTAACTTGCCGTCAAGATACCAATTCTTTACACGTGAAAAGTCACAGTTGTGAGATTTTTTTGGAATTAAATTCAGATGATTAAATATATACTAAATAGAAAAATACATAATAAAATTGAGTAAACACACTTATAATTAGTTTATTAGATTTATACATAATTCTACCCCAATATGATCCCAGTTTTGCATGAGAAATGTTTCACATTGATCAACTATCAATATCTCAATAGAAGAAAGAAAATCGAAGTCGTGCTTCTTGTCTCTAGAATTAATTACGTGGTTTTGAATAATGCGTGAAGATATAAATACTGAAATTCACAGAATAAAATTCATAAAAGGATTTACCCTTCAGTCCCAATGACCATCCGTAATCCTAATGGAGAGGCAAGAATAATGTCTGCATTGTAAAATTCGGCATAAAATTTTATCGACTTCCGTGTGACTTTAATACCAATCCGAAACATGTCATCGATGTTGCCCTTGAAAGTTTCTAAAAAGTCCACTACAACATATGGATTTATACACTAGTTTTAAGTTATATTCGCCATAAGATCTTTAATATTAGATATATATTCAACCTGGCTTGCTTAAGTCAATCTTTTCTTCATCTGGGGAAATACCGTAAGAATCGAAAAATCGCTTGCGATTCTCCTTTATTATTAAACATAAATAATATAGATCTATCAATTGCTTCATATATTTCATTCAATTTCGTCTCAGTACTTACTTGTTGTTCGGATCCAGATAATTGTATGAATATTTCTGCTAAATTAAGAGCAGAATTACGGAATGGTAGTAGAACCAAAACCTTAGGTCGAGTGAAACCTTGATCACGAAATTCCCTAAAAAAATAGTAATTGTAATCATGAGAGTAAAATTTTTAAAAGTTTAAAAATATTAAAATAAAACTACTTGCTCAATATCTTTGCCAGCAGAATGTGCGCGAGTAATTTTTGCATTATTCTTTAATACGAGATTTCTGATCCTTGAAACATGATTAAATTACATACAAGCATTACTATATAGTATTTGAAATAAATTATGCTAATAATACTTTGTTTTCTTACTTAAAAATATGATTTAAAGCATGTAAAGCATAAATTTGTCGTATTTCCCTTGAATTTTCCACGGAACGATTGGTGAACAAAATGTCGCGATATTTATTAAAATGATGAAAGAGGCCAGCTTGTAGTTCCGATAAAATTGAATCTTTACTATCTTGAATGATAAAGTGTTATAATTATTATCGTTTTAAAATCACATACAATAAACCAATAAAAATTTACCATTTAACTTTTTCCAAGAACAAAGTAACTTTTCCTTAATCTGATAAAGTATGAGACACCTGTTAGATAAGTATTTTAAGAAGTCCGGACGTTATAAAAATTGAAAATTAAAATGTTACATTTAGCGAATTCAAATTTATCTCTGAAATTCCAACAAGGTTTTCATTCAATTCTGAATCTTGTTCTATTGAATATTTTGATATCGATTTCAATATTGGATCTTTATAATTGGAAATATTCCAATGTTTATTATCTATTTTCTCTGTCTTGGAACTTATATCATTCAACGATAGATTATCACCAAAATGGCGATCAAATTCGTCAGCATCTTTTAAAAGTATATACAAATTAGTTGTGAATTTGATAACCTGTAAATAAACCATTATATTGTATACAAACCTTCTTCGTCAATATCAGGATTGCTTAAAGCTTCATCTCTAAGATCATTCGTATATGTAATGTCTTGCATTTTGTCATTATTATTCATATCGATATCCATACTTTACAGAAGGTTTTCAAAATAACTATTTGATACGGTGAAATCGGATTAACGTGAAATTTGGACCTATTTTATATACGATGATCCATCAGGGCGTAGTCTACGGCAGGGACCCTGAAAAATTTTGAAAAGATTATATCACAATAAATCGCAATTTTTAGTGGATATCGCTCTATAACACAATTTTATGACTTATTCATGCGTAGTAGGTTACACGATAAAATTTAATTGGTTAGCTATTTTAGTTCACCAATCAAATTGCATATAAATTCGTATATAAAAGAATTTATAGCGAGACAAGCGAATTTTAAATACAAAGATAAAAGATATTTCAATATTTCAAATTTATAGTTATTTGGAAAATACTTGTTGGATTTTTTTGTAATGTATGAGCAACAAACAAATATAAGCAAGATAAACTACTAAACTAACGACACCTGCTTGACGTTTTCATTTGGAGATTTAAAAAAAAAAAAAAAAAAAGTAAGATATTATAAGATATTATATTTAACCTTTATTATATCGTATAGTATATAATTATTAATTACCAATTAAATTTTTTTTTTTAAAGTAGCTTGTTTTAAATGCCACGCCAAGTTACTGCAACAAGCCGCGCAAATGAATTTCAGGAACATTTTTTTGAGGATCACGGACTTTTGATGTGCTGATTTTGTGACCTACCTGTTAATTTTAGTACAAAATCAACTATTACAACCCACATAAGCAGTACTAGACATGCTGCAAATAAAAAAGCAAAAGAACAGCATGAAATAAGATTAAGGCAACAAATATTACATACATCAATAGATGCAACACAAAAAAAAAAGAATATGATTTTAGATTTGGTTGAGATGTTTGTAAATGTCAACATACTATTAGAAAAGATTGATAATTTATGTTTGTGGCTTAAGAATAATCTTATTAATGGTGGATTTATTCTTTTGACTGAAACATTAAGACAGAGTTACTTAAAGCCAGTATATGAAAAACATATCACAGCTATTAATCAGAATTTTTCAATAAATCAGTTTTGTTTATTGTTGATGAAACAATAGATAGTTGTGTCAGAAGCATAATCTATATATTATTTAGTTATCAAAATGTAACTAAATTAGTTTTAGTAAACTTTTTTAATGTATTAATAATATTACAATAGGGTAAATTATTTTTCGAACTTTAATTGAATGGTCTATTTCATTTAATACTATTAGATTTTTTGTTTCAAACTTGGCATCATATATAAAAAAATGTTTTCAAAATATTTTAAAATCTGTAATACCTCAAATTATTCATATAACATGTATAGCACATATTTTAAATCTAATTAGATATGTTATTATAAGTTTTGCTATCTAATTCAAAGTAATAATCAAAATTGAACCAAATTTTTGGTCAAAATTTGGTCAAAAATTCAGTTTAATAGATTGTTACTTTGTTAAAATTTATACAAACTATGTTTAATATTCATTTTAAATTTAATAATTTTAGAGAGACATGGGTATTAATTGTATAATTCAATCTTTTTAAAAGTTTACTCACTGATATTCAGGAGTTTGTTTCTAGATATAAGAGTTGAAGAAACTGTTATTTAGTATATTTATATTGTCATAGTGTTGAAAATCTACAAAAGTTTCTTTTTATAATAAAACTAGATGGAACTCATAATTCTGCTTGGCATTTTATATAATAAAAAATCTTAATTATATATACAGGTTTTATCATGAAAAAAAATAAAAATTCTTTTTCTATAGTTGAAAAAATAGTTGAAACCTTTGACAATTTACAACATAATTTCTTGGTCAAAATGTATCTTTATTTTATTAATATTTTGCTTAAGTTTTTGTAAATGGATTAGATTTTTTTCAAACCTAAAATTACTTGTATTTTTATACATTAAATCACATATTCAACAATTTGAATTATATATTAAAAATAATTAAGCATCATTTATTTTTCTTTTTGATATTTAGAATTTTATTATTACTAATAATTATTCACTTGATTCTTTTTTTTTAATTTTTCAAAAAGCCTTTTAAGCTGCATATAAAAAATATACAGATCATATTCAACATCATCTAGCATAACCCTTATTTCAGATTACACAAATTTTTAATCTACCTTTTATTCATCTTACTATTGCCAATCGAGATATTTATTCTTATCATATTATTAGTGAATTAGATAATTTTTCTTCTTTTTTAATGTATAAATAGTAAATTTATTGTAATTTTAAATTGGTAACAATTGAATATAATAACTTAGCAGAGTTTTGAAAAAAATATCTGAAAATTACCAGAACTAAGCAAAATCACTTAAGAATATATTTGACTTTTAATTTCTTCTTATACAGTTAAGCAAATTTTTTCTAATTACAATAATATTTTAGCTAACAATAGACAAAATCTTAGATTAGATTTATTACAAATGCTAAATATTATGTATTTTAATCAAGATAAATAAAATTTTTAAAAAACTTTATTTTGAATAAAAAACATTTTTTACTTTTATTCAAAACAATATTTGTGTAATGGGCATTACAATTTTTCAGAGTTTCTGGTCTATGAACATGTACTGTTTATGTAATATTTTGCTTATAGACACATATTATTCATGTGATATTTTACTTATGGACATGTACTGATCACATAATATAGAATTACAAACAATTATTTTAAATAATGTAGAATATTCTAATTAAAGTATACTTTTATAAATAACTTATTAGTTGGGACTTTATTCTAATTAGCAGTTTCAACCAATTCAAACTATATATAATAGAAAAGTACTTATGATTTTTAATTTTAAGATCACTTTACAAGAATTAAAAAATTGTCAATAAAGTAATTAATTGACAATATTTTTTATAAAATGTAATATTTTTTTTCTAGTATAATTGCTATAAAAAGTTCAGTGTGTTGTATATTAGCTATTAATTAATTTTTTAAAATAAAAAAGCTATTTATTTTAAACTTTATATTATAAAAAGAAATATATTTGTATATTAAAAATAATTAATATAAATTATAAATATAATTGCTGCTAAGAGAAACCTGTCATCAGGTTTTTAATTATATTTTGTATTAGATATACTTCCTAACAAATTAGACTAATTATATCTAGTACAAATACAATTAAAAGCCTAATAACAGATTTTCTCTTAGCAACACTTATAAAAATTTATTTTTAAATTTTATTGTGATGAAATTAAAAAATTTTTACTATTATTTAATTTTTTTTTTCATTAAATAAATATAACATCTTTATTAATAAATTACTTTGACCTTTTTATATATAATATTATAAAAGTTTATAAAAAATTACATATAAAATTGAGGACCAATTCTGTAACTCTCTCCGTAGATCACTTGTACCAAAATTTTACTAAAAACATTTAATTATTTCTCAATAT